GGGGGTCTGGGAATGAATGTCTTTGCAGATACATGTATTTAGCCTTCAGAAATAGCTGCATGGAGCACCTGGGGTAAACGAGGGATTCTTGGTAGAGCTGGGCTAAGAATCGATTGCGGAACCGATTCCCACGATTAATTCTAGTTCTAGGGCTGGAAGAAAAGTTCCCACTCCTTTTTACGTAAACCAGCGGTTACCAGTTACTTTAATCATTAAAAATTGGCGCTCATATGACCTTTTGCAGTTTGGAGTGTCTTAAAACCTCTACTAAAACTACACTAATTATTAAAATTATCTTCTTTTCTTTCTATATAACTTATTTTTAGATACTGGTAACCAAAGAACTTATTTTTTAGAAAAATAAAAGTTGATGCTTCGTAGTGTTCCTGAATCAGGGTTATCCTAAATCCTGAATATAGTGTTCGGGGCCAAACTGGTAACCAACGGAAGAATTCACATCATTTTTAAGAAAGTAAGTAATTAGGTTCAGACTCGATTCCTACGATTCCTAGCTTTCAATAATCGGGAACCTCGCCCCCAGCCCAAATTCCTAGATCAGGTCTAGAGGAAGGATGTTTTGGTGATTTATTACGAGAATGCTTTATCCGTCCAACAACTCAAGATTGTTTGTTTACAGGGGCTGGGCGAGCATACTGATTAATGGCCGTTTCCGATAAGCCAGAGAATTGTAATACATAACGTATTTTGCGATCGTTAAGACTCATTACGCGGAAGGGCAATATTAATTTTCTAGAAAATAATGGATATTTATTATTTGCAGAAGGTCAGATTTCGAGTGGGTCACTATAATAATAATAATAATTGCATTTATATAGTGCATGCTCTATGCGCTTTACAACTATTATTACCCCAGCAGACCCTCTGAGAATACTCAGAAACATTCTCAGCTTCCGCGGAAGCATACAGTGCAAGCTGCGGATTTCACGCGCTCAAACACTATCAAACTGATATAATTAGAAGATCTTTCCCTGTCTATAGCCGGGTACCCATTTCCATCTGGGTGAAGTGAGGAAAATGTGTGCAAAGTGCCTTTCCCAAGGACACAACGTCGGGCCCCTGACGGGATTCGAACCCACGACATAACGGTTGCGAGTCCGAGAGCCTAACCACTAGGCCACTGACACCACTATGACGTGACCGGTACTAGGTTCGTGTTCCTATCCAAATGTTAATGGTGTTCTTGCTTTTCTCCTGCTTGTTTGAGGGTTTTTTTCAACTACTTGTATCGCGAAAAGTCCCAATGTCCTAACCCCCCTCCCCCACCCCCTAAATATGAAACAACATGATTTATAAATAAAATTAATAGAAATAAATAGATACTCGAATTTCAAGAAGGAATACATGAAATAATGAATGAATGAATGAATGAGTAAACAAATTCAAAATAAATAAATAAATAAATGCATAAATAAATAAAACCTCAGAGAGATTGTTTCTGTTTGCTTTTTTACATTTTGTTTTTGTTTTTGGAGCATAGACTGTTGTCATCACAGTGACTTCACATTTTCCTTTCTCTTTCCATTTTTGTATACTCGAAGTCGAAGTATTGTGTCCATGAAATATCAGCAGACTTAAAGAACCTGCATGATTTGATATGATATTATGTAGGGTAATGATTCAGTGAACCATTTGTCATCCCTTTGCCATATGAGGCTTCTACATACACACACATGATTCGCTTAAGTCCACAAACCCGTTGCCATATATAAAAGGCTTCTAGATACATATAATTCGCTTAAGTCCACAAACCCGTTGCCATATGAGGCTTCTAGATACATGTAATTCGCTTAAGTCCACAAACCC